TACTCCTACTTGGAAGGGGGGATCCTACTCCCGGAGGGAGTAGGACTCCCCTAGGGCGCGCCATAGAGAGGGACGATCCTCCCCCTCCTCCACTCCTTTATATACGGGGGAGGGGGCAACCCATAGACACACAAGTTGATCATTGATCTTTAGCCGTGCGCGGTGCCCCCCTCCACCATAATCCACCTCGGTTATATCATAATGGTGCTTAGGCGAAGCCCTGTTCCGGTAGCAACATCATCACCGTCATCACGCCATCGTGCTGACGAAACTCTCCCATGAAGCTCTATTGGATCGTGAGTTCGTGGGACGTCACCGAGCTAAACGTGTGCAGATTGTGGAGGTGACATGCCTTCGGTACTAGATCGGTCGATCGTGAAGACGTACGACTACATCAACCACGTTGTCATAACGCTTCCGCTTACGGTCTACAAGGATATGTAGACGATACTCTCCCCTCTCATTGCTATGCATCACCATGATCTTGTGTGTGCGTAGGAATTTTTTTGAAATTACTGCGTTCCCCAACAAAAATGACTTATATACCAGAAGATGGGCACCGGAGGTGGGCCGAGGAGGCCACAACCCACCAGGGCGCGCCAGGGGGGCCTGGCGCGCCCAGGTGGGTTGTGCCCACCTGGTGGCCCCCCTCTGGTGTTTATTGGCTCCAATATTCCTCAAATAATTCATAAAAATTCTCCGTAAAGTTTTAGCTCATTTGGAGTTGTGCAGAATAGGTGGCCTGGCGTAGATTTTCTAGGTCCAGATTTCCAGCTGCCAGAATTCTCCCTCTTGGCGTGTTCCTTGTAAACTATGAGCGAAAAGGCATTAGAATTACTCCAAAAAGCATTATTATGGATACAAATATTATGAATAACAGCAAGGAAACATGAAGCAAAATGGACGTATCAGTGCACCACAGCCTGGTCTAATTAACATGGATATTTACTTCCCCAACGTCATCAGCCGATTAAAGTCTGATCGAGGTTAGTGTCCTTTCAACTTTCTCTATGTTGTCATATTACTTAGCAAAATCGGGGTATTTGTTCTGACTAATTGATCACTATTTAAGCAACCAATTGTGATTTCATTTTTCGACTCCGTTCCTAGGCAGTAACAAATTCTATTTACCAATTTATACACACTATATATTCTTCTGCCATGTTCTGAATAAATAATACCTTTCCACCTTTTAAGTAGAATATGTTGGATGCGTAGTGAACGATCTGTATGTTACTAAGCATACCAAATTTCACTGAAAGGACTTGAAGTATGTCATAAACTTTGTTGATAATCTGACAAAGATAGCACATCATATGAACACTAGATTTTGAATGGGATTAATTATACGTATGGTGCACACATTGAACAAGACCAATTATGTGCACAAAACGCTGGTAAAAAGTCTTATTTTAATGTTGATACTCATAAACTATATATATCTTGAACGATATGTTACAATTGGTTTTTATTCTACATTTCAACAGAAATTGCCCGCCGTAGCAGTTCCTGGATCGATTTCCCAGCGTGGTCCAATTACACTTGTGTCTGCTAATAACGCCAAAGTGATTGCAAGGTACTGCATTTCCTGCAGAAATAAACCATTCAAATTAATAAGTTCTCGCTTGTCGTGGCAATGCATCCGTATTGAAAAATTGGATACACTATTCTACTCATGCTCTACCAAGGCATAGGAGGGCTCTTCCTTTTCATTGACGAGATGCCGAGTTGTCGTGATCAAGCTGCTTCCAGCGGATAGTTGTGGTTGTTGCCCCTCGGTCTCTTAAATGTGCTAGCTATTAATATGTTAAGTATGTAGATATGGACCATATGGTTGTTGGCCCTTAGCCTCTTAAAATGTGATAGTTGTTACTATGTTAAGTATGTAGATATGGACCATATGGTTTGTCAAAATCGTGTTACGAAGATCCTCCTTTTGTCGAATAGTGTAACCACTACATATATGTTACTCAAATGTTGTTACCCAAGTTCTTAAATTTTCATGGAAAGTATTAGTATCGTACGCAGTTCATTGAGTTTAAGTGCGTGCCCGATGTCCATAAGGCATTTGCATATTAACTGTCCATATTGCAAACTCACACACATGTTAACATAAGGAAACGTATGTGTAACTTACTAATCATAGCACATGAGTCCTAGCCACCGCAAGCAACTAGTTTGCATTTTTAAATTTTTTTTATACACACAGAATCACACACGAACTAACTGTATTAACCATTCGTGTTGTAATTTCTCATCGCAAACAGCTCACCCGAGTCGGCTGTTTGCCAAGTATCACACACATCTTGTTTACACGACTCATTTGTGTTCTTATGGCTCATCGCAAAGAGTATCAATGTGAACTGTATGCCACATATCACACCATCTTATTAAGTTGAACAGTTTCTGTTGTGTTCTCTAATCGAAAACAGTTCGTCCGAGTGAGCTGTATGTTGTATGTCACACACACCTTGATCTGGTTAACCGTTTATGTTGCACTCCCTAATAGCAAACAGTTTATCGGAGCAAACTGTATGCCGTATATCGCACACACATTGATACGACTGTCTGTTTCTGTTATTCTGTCTCATCGTAAACAGTTCGAATGGATTAACCGTGTGCCCTGCATCACACACGCAACTAAAATCTGAACCGTGTTTGATGGCTCTGCCATTACAAACGTTTTACACCTTTTTGATGAGTTTTTTACACCACCGTTTGCGATTAATGCATCGCACACAGTTTCGTCAAAGGGTCTTTGATCGTAGTGTCGCGTTAGCAGCATCCTGCAATAGTGTAAGGTCCTAAGGGAACTACTCACGCATGGTCATGGAGGCAGCAATGTTGATGTAGAGGCCTCCCGTTGTGGATTCCCCCTCTGGCGGAGTGCAGGAACATGCTTCTAGATTGGATCCCCTCGAAATAGAAATTTGTGGCAGCGGAAAAATTCAAAGAAAAATCTTGCAAGGGTTTCATAAAATATGGGAGTTATGGGCGAAAGAATGGACATAAGGCGGTGTTCATGGGGCCTACATGACCTGGTAGCCCGGCCTAGGCCCTGGCCGCACCCCATGTCCGCGTGGAGGCCCTGTGTGTCCCCTCGTCTCCTTCCGGTGCTTTCTAGAGCCTTCATGATATGGAAAAACCCGTATTAAATCCTTAGAATTTTTTACCTTCGTATATATCGATTTTCTATAAAATAAAAAATATGCAGAAACCAACAACTAACATGAGGCACTAGATTAATAGGTTAGTTCAGAAATAATATAAAATGCTATAAAAAGTATACAAAAGTGATATCATAATAGCTTGGAACAATAAAAAATAATAGATACATTTGTGACGTATCAATGTCTTTTCCAGTAGTTTCCTGGTTTTGTTTGGGCATGTCCCGTGCATCTAGGTCCTATTTCTAGTTAGTGCGAGCCCCAATTCCAGGTCTCCTTTGGTTTGGAGGAATTTCATAGGAATTCTAGAGGATAGGATTCTTATAGAATTTTTCCTTTAGATCCCTTTGGTTCATAGGAATGGATTCCTATTCCTACATAGGATTGATTCTCATCCTTCACATTTCATAGGAAAATAAAAATGAGCCTAGACTCAATGAAAAAATTCCTTTGGTGTCAACCAAATGACATCTCGTTTTCCAAAAAAACACACACACACAAAAACAGAGGTAGTACCTCCCACGCAAAAATGAAGAACCACAAGGACCTACACGGAAAGGGTATGCACTGCCAACCGCCAAGTGGCAACCGCAACAACTTTGGACTGTACCCCCGCAAAAGAAATTCTCGGGGAATAATCCAAGCCAAAGGAAGCGAATAGAATAGGAAACGCACAGCAGACAAGATAGCAAAGAAAGAAAGAAAAAAAGGTTCGGAAAAGGGGAAGTTGGCACTGAGAGAAATCCTACCCCGAGCGGGGAGAGCGGAGGGCGACCGGAGGACTGCTCGCTCGCTCGCTCGTCGGTGGTGGTTCCGCCCTCTCTCCCTCCCTTGTCCGCGCTGCCCAGGTCGAGCTCCTCTTCCTCCTCCCTCCCTCTCCCCTCTCGAGCATGGATGCTGTCTCTAGGTTTCTTGCTGCTTGGCGTGTGCAGGATTTGGTAGGACCTTTCTTGGAGCCAGTTCGATTCTTGCTGCGGCTCCGGCTACGTCGATTGGCATGCTTATTATTCTCGAAATTGCGTCGTCCCATGACCCAATCCGTGTACTCGGCTCGCATTCCGGCCGAGATTTTTTGGTGCCTTGGGGTTGGGTTGCTGTGGAATTCAACTCCTCCCCTGCTAGGGTTCCTCCCGTGGGATTATACGCTCACATTCTGCGCAGTGAGAGCCTACAGTAGAGTTCCTTCTGTAGGATTTTGCTCGCATTCTGCAGGAGATTTCTTCACGGGAGTCCCCCGGGTTTGGATTTTTTGTGTCTAGTTCATAAGTTTTACAGTAACTCTTGGTGTCGGCCGCAATTTTATCCTCCTTTTTTCCTGTTCGTCGTGTCGGCTGCTAATTCGTGTACACTTTCTGCCGTTCTACTTGCTTGCGTACTGCCATGGTGCGGATATTCAGCAAAGTTACTTTCCTCTGCGAGAATCTGCGAGGATTGTTACTGAAGCTGTTCTTGCTGTACAGATTTCCCTTCATCTTTTGTTATGTTCAGGGGGGGATATGTGCAGCGATTAAAAAGTGTCAATGTGCATTTACATTACTACTAGATGCCCCTGTTTGCTGGATGACAGATCAGTTTGTTTGTTAGTTTAGCTGTAATAACCAACTAATTTTGACAAGTCAGTGTTGTTGTTACTTCCTCAACTTTTTTTCTTCCATAGTGACATTTCAACACTAGTGTTGCCTTAAGTTGCTCTAATTATTCGTATGGGTGATGTACTTTCTCCACAACTGTCGCTGTATTGCTCAATTAGGTGGGACTTATCATTTGACAATGATGTTATGATGTGCAGGTGTTAGCTGATCACTACTTCACTAGGAGCGAAAAGGAGCTACCATGGGTATTTCATCCAAGTGGATCAAATCACTTGTTGGGATAAAAAAGCATGGAAAAGCTCAAAATGGCGAAAGCAGCAGAGAAGTAAGTCAAAGGGTATTCACAATTTTCTTTCGAGCCAGCTTCCCCCCTTTCCATTACTCGACCTCAATCATCCTCGATCTCGAAGGATGAACTACATGACAAAAACATACTAGCACTTGATCCCAACTTCTTATAAATTGACAACCACAGCTAGGTAAATCACCAACTCCTGCAAAAGACATCAAAGCAAAGCGGCAGCCTCATTATCCAGCATCCCAGTAAGAAAATGGGGGTATTCGTTATGGTTGGATATTGTGATAGTGAATGGTTTGGGTCTATTTGCTCATGTTGTTTCCTGCTTGTCCTTTTGTGAGCATTAAAAAATATATTTCATTTGGATTTTTCTTGTCCTGTCCAAACATGTGGAATCTTCAAGAATGATGGAAAATAGATGGTTTACCAAAACTCACTGAAAATGGGGGTATTCGTTATGGTTGGATATTGTGATAGTGAATGGTTTGGGTCTATTTGCTCATGTTATACTTTGCTCATGTTGTTTCCTGCTTGTCCTTCTGTGAGCATTAAAAAATATATTCCATTTGGATTTGTCTTGTCCTGTCCAAACATGAGGAATCTTCAAGAATGATGGAAAAGTAGATGGTTTACCAAAACTCACTGAAAGTGGTGTTATTGTTGACATGTCTTTATCATCTGATGTCCTTTAAGGCCTAAAGGGCTATTCCTCCACTATTCCTTTTCATTGTCAGAACTCAGAAGTGTCATATGCAGGAGAAATTTGAAACAAGTAGATTACAGCATTGCTTAGAAGTTATGCATTGTGTAACTAATGTTAGCACTCATTGTTGTGCAAAGACGTTGCTGAAGTCCTTTTGTTGTTAGTTGCTGCTGTCAAGGACCATAATGCTTCCGTCGTCCTCACATCCACCATTTGGTGGACAACTGAAATGTTAACGCATGGTACAACAAGCTCTGGGCCAACCAACTAATAAGTTCCATAATATAATTTAAATCTGACTGCTCTAGTTTGTGTCCTTTTCTAGTTCATGAGTATTGTTAACCTCAATTCACTGCCGCTGATTTTTTTTCCCTTTCTAGTAAAGTTTTGATGGAAGCCTTTCAGTTTACTTTGATTGTAAACTGACTGTATAGGTGCAATGCCACATCTAAGCATGCGGTGCTTATTAACAGCATTGCATTACCATCTACTTTCACGCCATCCTCCTAACTTTTGTTATTGTCTTTAAATTATGGAAATATTGCTTCAAGACTATGCTTTGTATATTGTAGAGGAGCTCTGCTGCTCAGCTGCTACACAAACGGAAACATTCTGTGGATACTGAAGGCTCCCTTGCAGTTGCAGAACACACAGTGCAAATTGAACCATTGGCTAGTGACACCAATACACAGACAATTTCATCTGAGACTGAACTAAATACAAAGGAGCATCAGGCTGCAACAGTTATTCAATCAGCCTTTCGAGCATTCTTGGTATTATATTCTCTCTTTGATTACCATGTTATTACTGATGATTTAAAAAAAAATCAAGCAAAATATTGCATTTTGTAACGTGGATAAATCTACTGTCCCAACTCAGGATTCTGCTTTATGCCTCCAACATGGAAAATGCCACAAAATGTTGAGTGCTAATTTAAAAATCACAATGGATGTAAATAAAGGGAAAATGGGATTCATGTGAACTCTATACCTTTTGTTATGTATGATGAAGTCCTGGTATATTCTTCTTAAAGAAGACCAAAACTACTACTGGGTGCTGGTCAATCATGTAATGCCACAACTCACTGGATACACCTAAGAAGTTCTTGGATTTTACTGTGGTCTTGAACTGAAATTATCCAGATGTACTGTTATTTGCTAGGTGTAAATGATTGTTGTTTACTGACCCGCCTATGGGGCATATCTAGTTGGAGCAACTATTATTAGAATAGGAAACTAGAACTGCTGCAGATTCATGAAGTGGTCATCAGAAATTCTTCTAAGGATAGTGAGGACAAAGAACCAATTGCCAACTCGTAATCCCTGTGTGGGAGAAAGAAACTGATGAGTATAGTTTAAAATTGAATTAAAGGACAGATATTGTCCATTAGAAACTCATCATTTGGGGCTTTGCCTTTTCCATTAGGGACTAAACTTTGTAGTTGCTTGATCACTCCTGTCCCTATACTCACTATATTTTGATTATTTTCTGATCATCCAGGCTTAAGTGCCCAACGCCTACACTAGTAACTCGTAATGCATGTTATAAGGGCTGGACCAATCAGATATAAAACCTAAGTGAAAAATATGCAAAATAAGCAGTAACTTGAAAACAATTTTTGCTAATATTTCTCAATTCTAGGCAGTCTTTTGATGATATGTGGTGTGAAGCACTTTGATTTTCTGCTTGCACTATCAGGCTAGGCGAGCTTTACGGGCATTAAAAGGATTAGTTAGACTCCAGGCCCTCGTTAGGGGCCATGCTGTACGAAAGCAAGCAGCAGAAACACTTCAGTGTATGCAATCACTAGTAAAGGCTCAAGCTCGTGTCAGAGCAAGACAGGTTCGTATTGGTTTGGAAGGTCAGGTACCCCAGAAGAAGGCTCCTGAACAAAATGCTCAGGAGGATCAAGCTCGAGAAATTGAGGTATGAAACTGCCCAGAAGTCGGTGGTGTGATGTAGGCTATTCAATTCATGATTTCCTTACAGTATATATGCAAATGCAAGCCGGCAGCTTTATATAGCTCTGTTCGCTGGATTTCTGTTAATATACCTAGCAGAGTTATTTGCCAAGATTTGTATATTATTGGAGTTGTCAAATAATCTGTTCGCTTTTCTTGTTCTTTACAATCTTCCATACAGCAAAGTATATTAAGAGTTGTAGTTCGGGAAATTGAGAAGCTTTAGCTGTGACTGAAAATACAATCACAACAAAACTTTGTTTACAGTTACGCCATCAAGATGTAGAGTTAGAATATCCAGATCACAAATGCAACAATTCAAGTTTTCCTGTGGGAAAACTGTTCAGGTTTCTCTGTAGAGCTCACTAATAACAGAAAGTACGAACTGTCCATCAGCTGGCATAAAAGACTGAAATCTCTGTTTTTAATCACATATTTGCTTTTGAGAATTGTTACTGAACTATGGGATGCAGGAACGCTGGTGTGGTGGTATTGGCTCGGCGGAAGATATGCAAGCTAAAGCATTGAAAAAGCAAGAAGCTGCCGCTAAGCGGGAAAGAGCAATGGCATATGCTTTAACACACCAGGTAACTTGAAGTGATGACATTCTACCATAAATGTATGAGCAACCGTAGAAGCCCTGGTGCTCAAGTGGTCCAGCTGCTGGCTGGGTTTTAGGGAACTTCGTTTTTTTTTTCCAGTAAAGTAGAAGAACAAAAACAAATGATGTAATAATAAGTTGGCAATGCAGGCTGCTAATTGCGCTTTCCTTTTGCAGCGGCAAGCAGGTTCCAGGAAACAGAAAGCTGCAGATGTCCAAGGGCCAGAGGCGGATGAGAACCAGTGGGGGCGGAACTGGGTGGAGAGGTGGGTGGCTGTACGCCCATGGGAGAACAGGTTACTGGACAGCAATGCCAAAGAGAATGTACCAATTGGCGACGATAAGGAGGCTGAGGAAAATGGGGACAGGGATGTAAACAAGCCAAAAGGAAAAGTTGCAGTTTCTGGCATTCAGTCAAATGGTTCAAGCGGGACGAAAGATGCAAAACACAAGAAGTCACATTCTGATGCAAGTGGTTCTTCATCAGGGCAATCTGCGGCTGCGCCACCCGCTGCTTCTTTGGGATCATCTAAGCTGAAACCGAAGCCATCGGGTCAAACCTCTGAGGAAGTCAGCCCTCAACCTACCGATCCGGCTCCGCGGTCCACAAGTAATCCGAAAGAAAGGCCAGCAGCACAAGTCAATGCACCAACGAAGAAGCGGCTATCCCTTCCTAGCAACGGTAAATATCTGCATTCTTTTGCCAGTTTAACCTCCCGAGTCGCCAACGCTGTTACTTCAGATATTTAAGCTATCCAAAACTGTATCTGTCACAAGCTATGTGTCTTTTCAAGAGCTCATTTGTCACTAGCTAAGCATTTCAGTTGTAGTTGGCATGCGTTTTGCAAAGTATTAACAGCTCATGCCGCAGCAGTATCTGATGTCCATTTGCTACTTAGCTAAGCATTTCAGCTGTACTAGTTCACATTCATTTGAGCTAAAGTATCAACAGTTGATGCTGCTGCAGTTTCTGACGTCCATTGCATGTATTATATGTAGGAACTGCCGGTGGCGGAGCAAGAAAAGGCCAGGCCAACAGCAGCGAGAAAGCTCGGCCCGTCGGTTCCAAGAACAAGGCGAAAGGAGCGTCCAAGTCTGAACCGAAGCAGCGTCGGAGCCCTGGCAGCGCAACCGCGAAGCGGGCCCAGGCACAGGCCTGACCAATCAATCTACTCCCTCCCATTTCATCCAGAAACTTAGTCGTCATGGCAATGCCCATCTGTCACGTACATGAAAACCAAGAAATAAACAACCCTGCATCTAGATCGCCGCCACGCTCCCTGCATTTCCTCATGCTTCCGTCAGCTACCATTCTGTGTGTATGCTTTCTTCTTCAAGCCACTGTTCCGAAAGAACCGAAGAGGCAAGCACCATGTTATCTGCAAGTTGTGTCTGTCCATCCTTCAGTGTAAGAAAAACCATGCTTTAATGTTGCAACATGGCATGTTCTGCAGCATCAGTGGTGGTGGTTGGGTCCATGCATATCCTTCGTATCCCTCATGTATATTGCTCACTGCTTTCTTCATGGAAAGGCCGCCCAGATTCTTCTGGAGGATTTGTATAAGTCGCAACGTGTCCCATCTTGCATGCCTGACCATTTTTGCATGATGAAAGTGGTGGCTTTTGCAAAGCCAAAGCAGGATGGTGTGAGTATGATGATGGGTCTCCAGGTGCAATCATGCATGCAGTGGTTGGTCCCAATGCAGCCCCATTTGCAGGTCTCTTTAGGACCCGGCTGAAAGCCACCTGCTGCTTGGAACATGCCTGCCTGCCTTTGACTAATTGATGGATGCCCGTGCTGTGTGGTAAGTAAGCTGATGTGTTGTTGCAACTTGCAGCATGCAGCCGTGCATGTTGCTTGCTCCTGAATTAGTCTGAAAGCTTATATGCTCAGGAACTAGTATAATACTTTCTCTGTCTCAAAATTCTTGTCTTAGTCATACATCCGTATCTAGACAAATCTAAGACAAGAATTTTGTCATACATCTGTATCTAGACAAATCTAAGACAAGAATTTTGGGACGGACGGAGGGAGTAGTATATTTGTTGGAAGGTCGGTGTACAGAGATGGCAATCATAAATTGATCTGATCTGATGTGTTGGTGGTATTTGTGGAGCTGCAAGCTAATTTGGACATGCTTGCCGTGATCCAGCATTTGTGGCTGTGGACTTGTTGTCGCTGTTCAGCAGACAGGTGGGGCCAGGTCATATAAATGCCGCATCAAGCAACCAAAACTGGCCTTTTTCTCCCTCGGCCCATTGTTGTAATGCTGAATAATGTGTTCTTTTGCATGGGCCATGAACGTTCACTGGCTTGCATTTTTTTATTTCTACCGACGATAAACAATAGGGAAATTCCACACTGTGGCTTTGATATCTATCAAAGAAAATCGTAGAGGGATATCAACCTATAGCTCTATACTGTTGTGGATCCTTCCTCGTGGAGTCTGCAGCGCTGTGGAGTTTAACTGCTCATCGCCATGATCCATTACATGCTGCCTCAATGCGTGAAAAGATAGTGCAGGGCCATGGAGACAACGCGTCAACATCTTTCTTGGTTTGGTAATCAAATAATTCGAAGAGATATATATTGTCAAATTAAAATGACATCAAAGTTACACCACCTGTTCTTTCTTGGTCGTTGGAAGGTCAGTGTAGAGAGATGACATATCTAGCCAAACTTATCTACAGAAAAAGTGTGTTATATCGATAATATAAAATATATTTCCCAAAGAATCTAGTAAAATTAATTAAAACTTCAAATGATTTGAAAATGAGGAAGTACCATCAACAGGACATCGCCGTGATCCAAGTTCAACATGTGAAAAGGGCCCATGAAGGCGACATATCAACATCTTTTTGGTTCCGTGACCATAGCCATTTTTGGTGAAATACAGTGCAATAAGAGCGACATCATAGCTATCCTATTTTCTTCATGGCCGTTGGAAGGTCGGTGTACAGAGCAGAGATGATATATAGATAAATCGACTGATTGGTTTATACTACTCCCTCTGTTCACTTTTACAAGACCTTGAAGCATTTCAGACAATGTGTAAAACAGTCTATTTGGAGTTGTCTGAAACGACTTGCAAAGGTGAACGAAGGGAGTAGTACTTTCGTGGAGCTGAAAACTAGCTAGTTTGGACATGCTTGCTCGTTGCAATACTATTCTCACCCATGATCCAAACCTAAATTTTTAAGAATTCAGAGGAGTGCGCACGACACTTCTCTACGTCCACGTGTGCATGTGAGGATCTTCAGAATTCAGAGGAGTGCGCACGGCACTAGCAGTGTAAAACATAGAGACACTTCTGCATGCCCTCCGGTCCACCGATGGTACGTACGGCGATGCCCGATGCTTCTCGACCGTTGGTGTCGTTCTTTACTTGTCATCGGGCCAGCTGGTGTGCATTGTTCCTTCCTTGTACGACAACATTGGCAAAACAGAATCTGATGCGTTTGTCATCGGTCCAGTTTGTGTGCATTGTTTCTTCATGAACATTGGCGGAAAAAAAATGTTCAAACTAGCTAGTTTCTTCATGGTCATGGTACCCGCAAAATAAAAGTTTCTTCATGGTCGTCGGAACGCCAATGTATAGAGATGATATAGATAAATCGGAGCTTGATTTTCGTGGAGCTGAAAACTAGCTAGTCTGAACATTTTTTTTTTTAAAAAAAATATTAATATCGCGAAGATATTAATTACACCCAATCTCTTCATCAACAAAATATCTCAAAGACATTCAGAATTCACACGGCCCCAGCTAGCTGGACATACTCGCTCGTCCCAATACTGTTGTCACCATGAGCCAAACCTAAATTCGTGGCTATTGACTTGTTGCTATCGCTGTTCAGCATGCAACTTTCAGGTGGGCCCATGCCATATTAGAGCCGCACCAAGCAACCAAATTCGTCCTTTTTTTTCTCCTTTGCCTGCTACTCCCTCTGTTCCAAAATACTTGACTTTCATTTGTTCAAAAATGAATGTACCTATATACTAAAACATGTCTAGATACATCTATATTTTAACAAATTGTAAGCATGTATTGTGGAACGAAGAGATACCTTTTTTTTGAGTGGAGCCTATCTGAATTTTAATCCGGATAGCAACTTTGTTGTCCGTGGCCTTCACGAGATGAGAGGGAGGAAGAGAACCAGTGCGGTCAGATTTCTAACGCTCCGATGCTGAAAGCACACCACGTATGATGTGAACTACCGATTGATTATTTTTCTGTTGGCGGCATGCATGTTGCTGCTGGCGGCATGCATGCATGTTTATCACGAGCCAAAACATTTCAGCCAAACGGGACTATTGACTTGTTGTCCCCGTTTGGCAGACAAGTGGGGCCAGAGCACATTTCAGCCGCGTCGAACAACCAAATTCGCCTTTTCTTCTCCGTCTGCATAATTTATTCGTCCGTGGCTTGTGTGAGAGGGAAAAAAGAGCCGGTTTTAGTGATGTCTATTTCTCTTTTATGGGAGGTGATGTCTAGTTGATTTCCGATGCTCTGATGATGTGAGCGACTACGTACATATTGATTCTGTTTTAGGCGGAGCAGGTGCTGCTGTTAGGCCAACTTCACCGCGCGACCCTATCCTATCCGGTCCCGTCCGTTTGGGGTAAAAGGGACAAAAAAAGGCGGTCCAGCGCGCGGGAGTAAACGGACTTTTGTTCGCTTTGTGTCCGCTTTCGACCCATTCCCGGTCCAAACTTGCGCCGCTTTTGGGGTGAAACGGACACCACGCGGACACGCGGGTCGTCTGCGCGTGTCCTCCCCTGGCCCGCCCGTTGGTGGCACAAGACGGGTCTTTTTCTATCCGCCCCCTCCCTTCCTCCGGCCGCACCCCCTCCACTCTTCCCCACTCTTCCCGTCGCTGCCGCCGCCGCCGCCGCTGCCATTGCAGCCGTGCAGTTCGGACGCGAGCTCGCCCAACCCCTTCCCCTCGGCGCCGGGCTCGGACGCGACCAGGCCACCTGGTTTGCGCACCCGCCGGCCGGTTTTGGGGCGGATCCGGTCGGTCTTGAGCTCGGCCGGCTGTGGGAGGCCGGGCCGCGGCATGGACTGGCCGGGCACCTCGCCGGAAGGCCCTGGCAGGGCCGCAAGGCCACATACAGGCAGTGGCTCCTCCTCTAGCCGCTCGGATCTGCACCGTCGGTGGTCCGCCGGCAGATACACGAATGGCGGTCGGCCGGGCTCGGTGCTTGCCCAAAAGCTCGCCGGCGCACCGTTGCCACTCATTAAATGCGACCACTGCTCAAGGATGGTCGTGCGCCGCGTGTCTACAACGCCGGAACATCTCGGATGGGTGTTCATCAAGTACTTAAACGATGGGGTATGCGCTTTTTTTAGCTTCGGTTTGTGCTCTAGATTTAACTAGTTGTGCTAACTTCAAATTTTGTTGTGTAGAACGGATGCAAGTTTTGGTATTGGGAAGAAGAGTACATCGATATATTGATAGAGAGAAATTTAGTACATGTTCGTGCATTTTTAGCTAGCATAGAGGCTATAAATGAGACAAGTGCACTTGTTGCTAGATTAGAGGCTAGACACGAGACTAGGTGTGAGGAGGAAGCAACATCGACTTATGGCTTGAAGAAGAAAGGAGGATGCCAGATCGAGCCTCCTCCTCCACAGATCAACAACGAGTGCATCGAGAAGGCCCTAACCCAACTCAAGGGAGCAGTTATGGAAGTTGATTATCTTCTAAAATGTATTCTTATGGTTCTTGTTTTATTTGGTCTTGCTTTGCTAGTCAAAATGTGATGATGTATTTTTCATGTATCAAAAATGAATGATGAAATAAAGTTAAGGACTTGTAAAGAAATAATACGCGGACATGATGCGGCCGGGATGCGTCCGCGCGCTGGGCGCATGGCCACCGCATCCTAGGACAGGCCCAGACACGACTCCAAATCCCTACCCAAAGGGACAAAAACCGGACAAAACGGACGTCCGTTTGGGATCGCGCGGTGGAGTTGGCCTTATCCGGCGAGGTTTCAAACATTCTCTTTGCAAAACAGAACCTGATGTGTTTGGGCGTTCACCTTTGACTGGCTGCATGAACGAAGGAATGCATAAATGAAGGGCAAACTAAAAATGTGGGCTGGTCTGAAGCTTGAATCCGAGCAGATAACCCTGACATTGATCTGCTTCCTTGGCGGCATGCATGCGTGCAGAAAGGCACATGTGATGCCAGCA